CAAGCTTCGTCATATGACATCAGCGTGATCACATCAGCAGCCTCGTAACAGCAGCGTTTTCAATAGAGCTTCGTTTCACTCAATCTATTTGCCATTGTACAGTCCATTTGTGGCCATTCGGAGTGAAAAGCGGTCGATACGAGCACCATCGCCAAATCACGTGTGCTACCATTTAGAGGCTTCTATCCATTAATTAATATGAACTACGTAAACACACAAAGCAAGACTCCCAACGCAAGTTAATGAACGGTCGATCGACTAACTGAGTCCGTCTACGAGGCTACGTTGTAACAACGCCTTAAGTGCTTGAAATGTGTAGTGTACCTCATCGAATCGTAAACGCGTATAGAAGCGGTGAGGAAAATTGCAACCACCACTGTGAAAACAATCAGCTGCGACATGTGATCATTTGGGAGACAAGCGATGAGGTCGCAGAACTCGGAACTTCAGAAGAAGGCATACCTCAAATAAATCGACGAAGGGCCACAACGCTCCGCTGTGTCTGTTCCAAAGAAATGTGCGACCTCTAATAGAAAACATTTTTCTTTTTCTCCTAGGTGGAGAGCATTTTGACAAAATGAAAGACGCAGTTGTCAAGATGAAAGCAAAGTAGGGAGCTAGACCGGAAACTTTAAACACGTTTCAAACCTGTGAATCATGAGAAACACAGAAAGTCACTCCGTTAAGTCTGCCAAGTAGTAAACTTTCACAGTGGTGAAGGAAAGTATGTAAATTTACAATAACCCAGTAAAATTCATGTCTGAAGCTCAGCACTGAGCCAAAGCCAAAGGCAAAAACAATAAGGTAATAAACGGCAGGAAACTCGAAGGTAAAATATACTGTACCACCAATCATTTGGAAACCTAAGAGGGTGCCCTTTCATGACGCTGATAGAAAGCCACGCTAGGGTTCTAAAAACTAATACGTCATTATCAGACATCGCTCAGGTCTTGCTATTACTCTAGGCAAATGTCACAAAGAAGAATATTTTATAAAACCGCTGTTATGGTGCAAGTTCAAAATCAGCATATTGAAATGATAATAGTGATAGTAATGAAGATGCGTTTGAAATTGAAAAGAATACTTGAGAATATCATTACAGCACGTGAATAGAAAACTCTTTATATTCAAGAACCTGACAATCCAACTTGTTTTTCCTGCCATTTTTCTAAAACACTGTTTTGGGAAATGGTAAAAATAAGTAAATGAGAAGTACGCGGCTGAGCCTCGCTCGACTTAGTGAGAAAAAAGCTAGCTTAGGAAACATTGCTAACTGTCATCAACTTCGTTTGCCCCAAATGATAAATTTATGAGAACCGGGCTGGAAGAAAAATTAGCAATCACAAGGGATCAACATCTTCGTTATGAATTTTCTACGTACGTTTTACATATTTTGTCTTTTTGGATCAAAAACGGTCTTGAACATTTTATTCAATGCAAGGACTAAATACTCAGTACGGTGTATTAAGGCTGTAGTCTAATCCTGCATCGTAAAGACACGGCAAGCGGCAAGAAACATTCCATGGCGAAATACTTGGAGCGCATCCTACCTGGCTGCCGTGATGGTCGTAAAAGCCTAGTATTAACCTTGAAATTATAAATTAAATAATCGATATTAACCCATGAATGACAGAATAAGTCGCTGCATTAAAGGTTTATCATCATTATCATTATTATCATCATGGTTATGGTAAACTATATCGAGAAGAAAGACAGTTTGATTATATATCAGAACGAAATGGTAAACAACCATCAGTAACATTTCTTAAACAGTGCCGGTTAAAACCTTCTAAATAAATTAAGCCTTCGATTACGACAATCAGACGCAGCCCTCAGCTACATACGACCGAATACATGATGACGGATACATCAAACAGCTGATAAACTGAGGTGCTAATTTGCCAAGTTATTGTACCTCAGTAAAGGAAAATTAATTTGTCTCGCAATGTGTGGACAGAAAACATTCTGATTTGAAGACTTCTTTGTGTCCAAGGCGTCTCGTAGAGGCACACAAAGCCGTTCGTCAAAAGTTGATCGAAGTGATCAACGTGCCTCATTGAAATGTTCACTTTTTATGTTTACTGCAGCCGCTTGACCTTTTGAGCATGGCTTTAGACCAGTTGCGGAATTTTTGATGGAAGAACCAAAGGATCTTCATTTCAAGAGTGAAAACCGACAGAAGCAAAGGGATCTCGTTAAAAGCGGTGAAGCATTGCCGTCAGACAGCAGCAACGGAAGCGAAGGTCGTTCGCAGCAAATGGACTGTGTCGTCGACAGGTGATACAGATGAAATGCGAAATGAGGCACAGTATGCCCAAAGCTTCCAGTGACGGTGCTTTGAATGATTCAAAGTCTTGTGCATGACTCAAGACCGTGGGTTGGGAGGTAGTCAAATGCCTCACCATCTAATTAGTGACGGGCATGAGTGGATCAACGAGATTCTTACTGTCCCTATTTACCCTCGCGAAACCTCGACACTCGCGTAGTAAAGTTCTATTCATTCAAGTTACACGTTATGCATATTTTCTCGTCATCGATATTTGAAGTTAGACCAGCCTTAAAGCTGTTCTGTCCGTCCGGAGAAGGGATATCTATAATCAAGTTTAACGATTTCTACGAATTTCCTAACAGCGAGTGAAAACAAATATTCTTGATCCAGACCAACTCGCTGTGAAGTAACGCACTATTCGAAACTACGATAATTTGATCATGAGAACAAGGCAATTTATGGAAAGGATCACTGCACTACATGCCTTATCCTGGAATAAAGTCGGAAAGTGGAATCGGCGGACAGAACAGTGCACAATACATGAAAAAGACATCGAAGACTGAAAAAGACCGTTGCATCATGCCGCATGCAAATCGAAACAAATCCTGACATTGGGCGGACTGGAAATTCGGATAAGTGCTGTGCGATCTTACATTTAGACACTTAATCGTTGCCATTGCTACAAACAGCATATTTCTTATCATGAAATCAGAGTTATCTCTCCGCTAGCTGTTTCCCTTGTTTAAGTATTTTCTTGCATTTCTGCCTCTTACCTCTACTTAAAGCTTTCATAAAAGATAAACCTTCCTTGAACCAATCACCTTCCACGTCGTGGATTCCTTCCCACACCAGACAGATGTTGACAAGATGTCCGAATGAATGTTCATCTTTCACTGTGCTATTCCCAACGTTACCCAAAACGGCTCAGTGGAAATTTATGATACCTCAGGAAACCGAATTTGCTACATCGGTCTATTTCAGTCTTTCCATATGATTCCAGCAGCATACCAGAACGTAAATACGACAGCTTCAGAACGTTGATGAGTTTTCACTGGTTGTGTTCCATCATCCCATACCTATAGACGATTCTCTAAATTGACTGATGACAATGCAATGCCCTGGATCACTTTTAGATCCTCGTCGTCCTCCTCAGTCACTATATACTCGGTAAAGTCAAAATTACCAACCGCTGTCGCCACCGCAACGTTGCTGTTGTACGTCTGGCTGTCTTTGTACTTATACAAGCAAAACAGTTTCCCTCACACGATACATTTGGAACTGTACTCCCATTCCCACGCTATGAGGATTTATGCTGAATGAAAGTAGACCACTGACAGTCACAAAGTAGCAAAGGGCAGGACTGTCAAGTCAAGTCTTGGCTGATGCTAGCGGTTTAACCCGTTGAGAAAGTTTAAACCGATCAGTGTATAAATTAAAGGATCTGAATAACTTATATTTGCTTTATGGTGATTTACAGGGTTAACGTTGTTTTGAAGAAAGAGTCAGT